AGTACAAACATGGAGCTCAGTGGCTTCTTTTAAGTTCCATAAAAAGGAGAGAAAAAGACTAAAAGCTATAACCAATAAGCTCCAAACTTTTCAGCTGACATTTTAAAAGTGCCAATCCCTTTTTTTCCTCCTTTCACACAAATGGCACACCACAGGAGACACAGAGGTGCCAACTCATTCTCCAGCCAAGATTCCACCTCAGATCGTGGCACAAGACAGAGGGACTAATGGTGTTTTGATCTAAGCACACAAGCCGCAGGCGTGACATAACGCATGCCAGATTCTTCATTCCTCCACGCTGCACCGGGGGCACGCCACAGAAACGCTCATCCCATCTTCCCCTGTGACACGAGGGTTGACTTGGTGGAGACGATCTGCCTGCTCGCGCACATGCTTTAAGTTAATGAGTACGCAGCTGTACATGCTAATGATACACACAACAACTGCCATCCATGTGTGAGAATTTGGTTAAAAAGTGTCAGAACACTCTTTGGATTCATTAAAAGCCTGAATGTTATCGGAGAAGAGGGCTGTTGTTTAATTACTCATGACACCTGCAGTATTTGTGTACAGTAATTGAATTGCAATTGATGAGAGCTGCTACTCATTGATACTTCTTTTGGTACAAGTGCTTGACAAAGCCAATGCATCTGACTTTACAGTAATAGCAATTAAGGATCTCTTTAGTATTCAAGGGCCTTCAACTTAAATACTTTAGATTTACTCTGGGGCTTCGCCGCAGCACTGGGCGGAGAAATGCAAGCTGGTATTACAGTAAGGGAGTGAACGACAAAGCAGCTTCACCTCCCAGACAGGGTGCTATGTACATTCATCCAAAGTGGATTGAAATGTTCTAAATTGTTTTATCGTGTGAAACTTTTGAAATATGTAATTTATTTGATTTAGTGGCAACAAAACCATCTTAATTTTACATGTAAACTTTTTTATGCACATGTAATTGTGGTACAAAGACATGAAACATACTCAAAAACACAAACAATGATCCAAGTACATAAAAAGTGAGACACTATGTTATTTTGCTGTTAGCAAGTAAGCAAACTGAATGTCCTTTGTTAAATTCTGATTGTAGTTTTGCATCATATGAATTATAGTGTTTTATATGAAGTTCAGTGAAGTTCACTGCCTTAGAACAAGATGACTGTTTTTATACCCCATGGCAACTGATGGTCTATTTAAGGCAGCCCTAAAAGGAGGCTTGTGGTTAGATTGTTGCTGGTTCAAATTCTGGCCATGGCAGGACTGTGGTAAGTGGTGGAAGCACCAAATCTCTTCCGCTCCCTGTGCTCACTAAAGAAAACAGAAAAAAAAAACAAAAAGAGCAGCTCACTGCTCTTCTGTGTCCAACGTTAATCACTGGAGTGTTTCACGGACGGGTTAAATGCAGAGAGTAATTCCCCTTAGGGGATTAATAAGAGGACAAAAAAAGAAAGTTAAGAGCCCTGTCCTTAAACTTGGCTGACAGTCCTTGAAAACCAGTGGGTGACTGTAGACAGAGCAAGGATTTAACAAACACAAATATGAGGAATACATTTTTTTTTTTAAGAATATACCAAGCCCATTCCAAAACAACCCAAACGGAGTCAAGTCACCAACATTTAATATGAAATGGACACTGATGCTGAAAGGGAGCCAATACAGAAGGGCTGGAAAAGGACGATTTCCCTGCAGAGCCTGAGGCTGCAGACCAGTGCTTCAGGGGGAACTGCATTAAAAACTGCCAGTCTACAGTGATGGACATGGTCATATAGACTTGGGGCTCTTCAAAAAAAATAACTGTCACTTCAGACTGTAACAAAACGATCTACATTAGCCTGTATTCTGCATAAACAAAGTTGTTCACCAGTTTGGTCAATAAAAAGTTATTGACGTATGTTAAGCTCAAGTTAAGTTTCTAGAGTTTCTAGACTATAGAAATGTAGTCTATAGTCAGGTGTCGACAACTGTCTGTTATCGCCAAAAAACGGAGGATTTTTGCCAGCGTTGATACTGTAGCTACAGCATGGAGGATGTGCACGAATGTGAAGGTGGATGGAAAGATCTAAATAGGTATCTGAGAGAGACTAAGTCTCCACCAGCAACCTGACTTTTAAACAGGCCAACACTGAGTTCATGTTGTCAACTGAGCTGAGCTATAGTATGGGCTGTGATCCTGTGGTGAACTTGCATCTGCTTTCACACTTCAGTGTGTTAAGACTTCAACTGCTAAAAAAAATAAATAAATATTTTTTTTAAGTTGATTAGTAACACATTTTTGTTTGTTTTTCCTTGTGACTGATTGGCAAAGGTCAAAAGCAGATTGTTAAACTGGATTATCATTGAAAAAATGTGTGCCCATAAAAAGGGAAAATCAATTTAAAAGGATTATACATTCTTAATAAACCTAGAAAAATAAATGAAAAAAAAGAGATGTTTGTTCTTTAGTTTTTTTTTTTTTTAATTAAACAAAGCTTACATTTGTTGCAAAAAAGGGTAAAATAAAAACACCTTTCCTAAATTTGTTTGTTTCCAGATTTAAAAAAGCAGCAACCACTTATCAAATTTTTTTTAGGGGACAGCTTGTGTGTCTGCTGATGTCTCTCCTGTCAGATAGTAGTGTTTAATAAAACATAGAATCTCTGTTGTTGAACTACAGATGAACTTGTCGGCACTAACACACTATGTGCACTTACAGCGTGTACGTACGTGCATTAAGACAGGCGAGCAGCAACAGTGCGTCCTCATCTTGACCAAGGAAGGATGGTGTTGCTAACATTTTCTAAATTATAGACTGATTTCATTTGTGAGGACTTGATTGTTAATCTTATTTTTTCAAATTTAATATTTGAGCCTTCTTTGCTCATGAATCTGATCCTGGGACTTAAACAAATCAGTGGTTTCTTCCTTTGTTTAACACAATTTTCCTGTTCTTACAATTAGGGTTTACAATTTACAATGAGAACCTGGAAACACAACTGAAAAAAATGAAGGTTCACCAATTATTAAATCTTTAAACCTAACAATAATATCTTTCATTACAACCGATTCCCAGTCGTACTGTCAGGAGGAAAAGGAATTATTTTAAATGATATATCTGGAGCTCCCCACCGAGTGGAGCCCGTGGTGTCTGACAAAATGTGAAAACAACATCAGAAGAATACTAAGGCTTTCTGACAGGCAGGGAAATTATTCACATTTTGATGATAGTACAAAGCAGGGTTATGGATTTTAGGGGAAAAAAATTCCCAAAACAACAAATGAGTTCTGTGAGTATTGGTTTTAGTGTGAGGTTTCTGTGGCTCAGCTGCTTTGATGAACAACGGGCAAAACTTACAAAAGAGTGAAATTAGAGATCGCTCCTGACTGAATTTGCCTGCAATTCTGGGCATTTCTCCACCAACTCTTTAGTTCACGTCCCACCCACCTCCCACTCTTTCTGTGCTGGTGACATAATCGGAAAACGTGTCCGTCCATAAACACACTTCCCAGAGGAGAAGCGTAGTAGCTCTACCATCCCTGCCACTTAAGGTAAGAGGAGTAACTGCAGTCTACAGTGGTGCTTAGTGGTGGGGAATTAAAACCAGACCTTTGGGTAGTGATGCCCCGAAGAGCATCCAGCTGGCGCGATGTCAGCGTGAAACTAAAGACAGTGCTCACAACACTGATATGTCCCTGCAAAGAGGAGAAGCAGGAGAGGCTGAATGCAAACATTCTGCCCACGGGGAGGTGCTTGCACAGTGGAGGGACCCACTTCTCATTTACTTAATAGCAGACAGATAATAAGAGAGGCTCAGACATATGGACACTCGATTTCTGGGGAATAACCATTTCCAGCAGGCAACCAGATTTGAGACAATCTGAAAGGCAATCAAGCGTGCTGCAATCAAAGACAGTTGATGATGTGACTGGACTTAGTCCCGTCTCTGGTTGATCACTGATGACAAATGAGGTTTTAAATGAGCAGGGATTGTCAGGCGGATTTGGCTCCACTCACTGAGGAAAAAAAGTTCAGGGAAGAGCCGATGTCAACAGTGATTAAGGGTGTTCTTCAGTATTCTGTGTCTGTGTGAGAATTAAAATAGTTCCATTAAAACTTCAGTGAATCGGTTCTGTCACTGGTATAAGACTGTTAGATTGAGTGATGATTTAGTGGCTGTAATGTAGTGGGAAGACAGACGGACATTTATTCAGAAGATCACGGGTTTGACTCCAGCTGCGTCCCTTCACCTAATCTCAACCCAGTAACATGTGGTGCAGCGTCAGGACGACTGTAAACCTGTCAAAGCAACAAGACGACGCAGTTCAAAACCTGCTTAAAAAGATACATTGTTGAGTAAGTTTCTCAGAAGCTGGTTTTAATACTTGACATATCATCTGGTGATATTATTCTACAATATGTAATGATATTTTAATTTAAGGCTATTTTAGTACTATATGCTGCATTTGATGTCCAAAACGGCCAATCACCATTGTCACCTCTGAACAATGAAGAAGCAGAAGATATTTTCCACCTTAATATTCAGATGTGTATTAATGGTCATGTTTCGCTTTCACATTCTCAGCCTTAAAATTTATTTTTTTTAATATCAAAACCCTTTAAAGCAGTCAATATCACTCCCCACAGTGGACCATTAAACCCCACGCTGTGTAATTCACCATATCTTTCCACAAATCCCTTTAACCAAAAAAGGCTGCACGTAAGACAAAGTGAGAGGCGGTGTATCATTTAACAGAGACAGGCACTGAAAATCCACACTAAACGCTTAAAGTGGACTTGAGTCATTCCTGGTCTCGTGACCCACTAACGATATACCGTGACCTGCTTTAGGTTCACAAACCACCACTTGAGGAACACTGGCTACAGTACATCAAATATGATTGTCTGTGTACTTGTATCTACTGTTTTTTGAAATGTGGGAAGTTTGCCTTTGTCTGGAAGCCACTGCTCGATAATGTCAGTCAATAATAATAATAAATATATACAGTGTCTTAAATTTATTTACCTGAGTAAATAATTGTCCTTCTTTGCGATACTGACTGACGATTATCCCTTGTCGTAGATCCATGATACTCGGCGCATCTCCTCATTCCAAATCCTCCAGCGTCGATATGAAAATGTTCGGATCCCAGTAAAGTTCGGTTCCCTCTGTGGTCGGCTGGAAATACCGTACGAATACAACCTAAAACTCCGCTTCGGCTTTTTTGCCCTTCTCTAATTTAAATTTGAAGGCAGGCAACGGTCACAGCGTCGGGGCAGTAGTTGTTGATGCTCCTCTGCTCCTCACATGATCCAGTCTCCGGCTCTTCCTCATGAAGGCTGCGCCCCGCTCTGCCCTTCTCGCTGCCGGGCAGGCGAGCGAACAAAGCCCGCAGCGTCGGCTCCTCACACGCGGTCAGCCGTGAGGTGCGGAGAGTTCTTGTGTTTAGTTCTTTCTTCTTTTTCACATTTCACCGTGGAATTGGATTAACGGGAGCACAGAGTGGCCGTGGTCCAGACTGGGCGTCCTGGTTCTGGTCCTGGTCTGGGTCCTGTTCCTGCTGCTGCTCCACTGGATAACAACAGGAGTGTGGTTGAGTGCGCGCCTGGCGGCAGTGGCACATGGCGCTCGAGTGTGTATTTATTTATATATTTAATTATATATTTATTTATGCATCATTCTTAGGGCTTTGCGAATTACAGAAGCTCTGCAACTTTTCTTTCATCCTTTTGATGAGTCACTGACTTCCCTCCTTATTCTCACTCTGTACAATGGAACATCTGTGCAGGCTCCTGATCAGACAGATACGAATGAAAAGTGCTTTTAGCGGCTATAAATTATTTATCATAATTTTTCTTTGCTGAAGTCAGATGTGTATTTTGGGGCTTTTCAGTAATTTGCATTTACTTTGTGCAGTAAACAGAATCCATGGGTTCACAAATCCCATCAGTTCAGGGGATATGGCTACATGAATAAACGAATGGTCATCTGCAGGAAAGTTATTGAAAATGACCTCAGTTTTACTAAAAAAAACTACAGTATAAAGGACTTGACTAGACTACAACAGACTACATTGGACTACAATGGACCAGACTATAAAAGACTTATAGTCTGGTCCATTGTAGTCTAGTCTATAGACTACAGTAGGCATTAGTAGACGAGAATAAAGTGCAGCAGAGTAGATTACATATATCACATTAGACTAAACTACAAGACTTGACTAGACTAGAATAAACTACAGTATACAACAGACAATACAAAATTAGACTACAAAAGACTAGACTAAAACAGAATGGACTAGAATAGACCATAGACAATATCAAACTAGACTAGACTACGAATCTAGACAAGACCACGATAGACTGAGGAAACAGGTATGACAGAGCACGGAAGGCTAGTTTGACTAAAAAGACGTCACATGACTAACAATCATCAAAAAGTTTCAGAACGTAACCATTTATCCATGTACGTAGAGATACTATAGTACCTGAAAGTAGCTGAAAAAGGTCTGCTGATACTAATAAATACGTACAAGTATTTATTAGTATCAGCAGACCTTTTTCTGCCTCATTTTCTAAAATTATTTTTCACAGTAGTTAGTAACTCTTCAAATGAATTTTGAGAACTTACATTGTGCGCTGCGGTACAATCATCCACTAAGACCCATGACTCATGCATGAGATTGCCAGAGAATGTTGTGTGATCCATCACTCCACAGGACATGAGCCCACAGATCTGGAGAGCAGTGTTGCCAAGCTTCCCTGACTCCATGTGTCCACCCTTGATGATGTGGAACTTTATCGCAGCTGGTTAGGAACCCAGGAACTCTTTGTTTGTTAGTGTTGAAGTAAATACAGATTAAGAATGTGGTCTGGTTGGAGACTTTGGTCAAGCTACATGGACTGTTTGATGGTCTTTCTGAACATGTCCAATGAGTAATTTATGGAAAGACATTTTTGTGGATGACAGAAAAAAAAATCTGACTTGATAATATAATAATAAATATAATATTTAGTTATAATTTGTTAAAATTCTGTGTTTTTGTATGATGTCTCATTTCTAAATACTTTTTTCCAGAGTCTGTCCATATGATATGATTCAGGGATCATGAGTCGGTCTGGCTACCTTTGTCCATTGACCTGCAGCTCCAAACAGCTGTACCTGTTTTATTTTATTTCATTTCATTTTACATGTTACCCAAACGGATGGTTCTTCCTGACGGAAATTGATTTGTTTTTTCATTTCTCTGGTTTTATTGATATCACGTTGAAGAAACGTGAATCTTCCTGCGTTGCTTGCTTATCTGTAGCTTCTCATTTTGAAAAATGAGCGGTCTGTTATGACAGGCTTAGTAAAAATGTAATTTGTCGTCAGGTGAGAGTGAGAACGTACGTTCTTTGTTCACTGTATGTCGTCTCTGTGTTCTTTCTGCTGTTGGAGGTTGTAAAAAAAACAAGGTGCTGAAAAGGTTCCCACACTGGTGACTGAGGAGAGGAATTCTTCACAGCTTTACATGTGTTATTAACATTTCTGAACACATGCTGTGCTTTGGAAATGAGCTAATAATTAGGATATAAATATGCACATGTATACAGGTGTTACACACACTGTACATACGTACGTGGTGAGAGCATCACTCGCTAGTTTCTAATTACTTCCTATTTACAGGAGAGGAAAGTCGGCAGTCCTGAAGTTTAAAAAGTCAGAACTTCATACACACACCACAGGCTTATGGCTCATAATTTACTCATAACGCTGCATGGGATTTAAGAAGATCTACTTCTGTTTGAGCAAACTGAAGAGTGATAATTACTAAAGAAATTAATGAGTATCCTGCTGAGCTTTGGAAAGTAGAAGAGGGAAGGAAAAAAAATATTTAAATGAACTAACCAAATGAACATTTAGTTTTTCTCGGCCGCCAATGCACACAGATAATAATGGCACTTTGAACCTCAAAGAAAAATCTGACTTGTAAAGCAGCCCTAAATACAAACATTACATTTTTCATGATTTCTTTTTTTTAATTATTATTACAACCAGAAGCACATTTTTACAATTGTTTCGAGAGTGTTTTTTTTTTAAAGCAGTTTTAGCCTTCTCTGTCCCGTTCCTTCTGTCACTGTTATTTAACCTGCCTTACCTGACGCTGCAACACCACCCTGTAGCTGAAGGAATTTTCCTAAAGAACTTTTCTAATACGAGGATCTTACTTCATCTTTTGTTTGACAAACTTTTTATTTGTGTGTTGTACTTTTAGCTGAGGTGTGTGTCCTATCAACCTGACTGCAGACCTGTGGCTACAGTGTCAATATTTACAGTTGGTCTTAAAGCCACACATTTTGGAAAGTTTAGAAAACGACACATTTTTTTGCCAGATACTGTAATAATACTCTGCAGCTGGTCGCATTGGCCAACGCCCAAATCCAATTTACACATTCTGTTGTTTCTTTTTTAAGCTAGGCTAGGCTAGGCTATCTGTGGCAGTAGGTGATCAGGTGCAGTGTGACACATATACAGAGTTGATGTCAGTGTCAAAACCAGATCAAACCCGTAAACACGATTTACTGTAAAGTTATGGTTAATTCATTTGATTTAGTGCCATGTTTATATAATCGTTCACTGTCATTTGATCTTGAAAACAGAGCTGCTGAGAGACAAGAACAAAGGGTTCAACTAAAAATCATCCAAAATTATTAAAGCTCTGTTTTAATAAGCAGAGACTCATTGATTCCCGGCGGGCTTCCTGACAGTGTTGGTGCTTTTACTCTGTTATTGTTTTGTTGCAGCTCAGAACCAAAAATCAGAAGGAGAGAAGAAAACACTCAAGCCTGTGATGTCTTTTATTAGAAACAATATTCATTCAGTGTTTATTATTTGTCCATGGTTTTGAACAAAATCTCTTCAGTCAGATTGCTCTCAGGAGACATTAACTATTCATACTTCTCCGTTTTTGCTTTTTTCATTTATCCAGATGATATGTTTCTTTTTGCTTTTTTCATTTATCCAGATGACAATAAAATCATTTGTTAATCAGGAAAATATGATTCATGCACTTATTGCATATTTAATTTGTAACAAAGAAATAATGTTTTGTGAAAACTGATCACTGACTTTTTATGTGTTCAACATTACATCTATGACTTGTGTTTCTTGTTTAATTTACTTTGTTGTCATGGTAAAGCACCAAGGTCCAGTGATGCTCACTAAAAAGTCCTTCCCAGGTTTTTGACCTGTAATTTCTCAACATCAGTCTTCAGTCTTGGGTTTAGCTCCCTAACCTTGAGAAGGTCGTGAGGATAAACCGCTCGGTGTTATCTTCACTACTGAGCTGGTGACTGAGCTGCTCACTGTGTCTGATTTGATTAAAACTGAATGACATCAAGCTGAGACAAGGGCAGTGAGGATTACCCTAACTCAGAGGAAGACCACCAGAAAATTGTCAGCAAGTTAGACTGTAACTGTTAAATTCTTCAACACTAAAAAAAAAAAAAAAAAAAAAAAAGTAGAGCAGTGTAGCAGTTGCATTACTTTGGATTTTGACAGAATAGTCAATGATGTCATTCATATTATATCAGTCATTAAAATTAGATTATTACAAAATGACCTGAGTTTGTTGATTTTATTAAGAATAGTTGGAAGAATTGTACGTGTTTCTGGAAAGAAAAAAAAAAAAATATCACACAGATTCACACAGAAGCATTTTTTAGATTTTTTCAGTGGAAAACATATCTGACCACTCTGGCAGACTGAGGTCAACTGAGAAGGACTACTAAAATTGCAGGTTGAAATAATCCAAATAACCAGGGCAACAGGTGAAGGTTTAAGTCAGAACTCACATTCAGCCGTGCTGTGGCAAATAAAATAGACTGACTTGTTGTGCTACACAAAGGACCAGCGAGTTCACAAAGGGCACAAAGTGTGAAGGTGTTGTTGAGTCTGTAACAACCATCCCTATAACAACACAGTCTTATATACAAGAGAAATGCTGAACGTGATGCTATTGAGTTGGGGGACCACAGTATGCAGGTTCTTCCTGGTGACAGCTCATAAAAGGGGATAACTGCCTGAAACCCATTAAAAGGTGAAGCAGATGAAAAACTGACTCATCTTGGATCAGGTCATGGGGTTGGTCCTCGAGCCAAAACTGGCTGACATCAGCAGAAAGACAGGGCACACCCGGGTTAAGTTGTTAGTCCAATATGAGGCCACATATGAGGCAATAGACAATTCACACAAGGGTTGTGTGAATTATTAAAACCATATTTTAAACTGATAGTAGAAGTTTTTGCATTTGTTTACTGGCTGATTCATATTACCATCAGCAGGTGGGTAATTGCCTACAGTCAGTTTTATTTTCTTCTCATTAACAAAAGGCTGTTTCCATCTAAACTGAAACAAACGTCTTCAAATTGACACTGTTGTCACCCAAGACAAAAGGTGACTTGGTAAAAACCCATGACACCGGCTGACCATTGAACTGCTGGTTGTGGTGAAAAGCAACCACAGAACAGAAGAAGAAGAGTATGAGCATGAGTATACAAATGAGATACTAACAGTATTATTTGTATCTGTGCATCCCTAATCCACACCTGTCTTTACATTTTACACAACATAATAAAAATCTAATTTCGATCTCTGAGCTGGGACTCAAACCATTGACTTTCTTGCTCTGTGATGGCAGCACTTAACTCTAATCCACACCTTTTTCCACTGCGTGAAACCCCTGAAAATGTATCAGTTTCAGTCTTAA